CCTGAGTGGAGAAATTTACCATCAGCTCTAACGACTGGCACAAAACCCATGCAGTTACCAGAGATTTGAGTATCTTGGGCACATCATTATTTGGGGATTCTGGTCCAGTCCGCACGTCACCCCCTCCCTTAAAAGTGGGTTGATACGATCCCCCGCCCCCGCCTAGTTCCCTCCTCATCGAGCTGTCGAGGTGTCGAGGTATACAGCACATGTGAAATGGGAAAACCTCAAGGAAAATACGCCCCCTCCCTCTATCGCGTTCTTGACAACAAAAAAACCAACTATCAGAAAAAAATTTCTCAAACTGAATACTACCCATGTCCCCTTCCCCAAGCGACCAAATGCGACCCTTACGACCTCCCTCCCTGTTGGGAAATCTCCAACGATGATGTCCCTTGTCACATTTTGTCCCAGCTCTAGCTACAACATCCGGCAACACGTCAATGAGCGCAGTGACAAGTTTCCAGGGCCACACACATTTTCTTAGCAAATTTCCAATCCCGAGAAGCGCTTGTTACTACTAGAACGTTTCCTCGGCACAGTTCGGCTTGGCAGGAGGGATACCGAATGTTACCAGGAAACTCTGTACACACCACCTTGGAAAGACCTGTAAATTCTTGTAACCGAACCTGCTTACAAGCTTTTTATAGCTTTACACGAGTTTACAGGTCTTGCCAGAAGATCCTGACACCTGTTCATAAAGAACGAATGTGCAAAGTGCCCCTCCAATCCGAACAGCGCCCGATTCTTCTGAAGATACACATTTTAAACCTTGCCCCCTGACTTCCTTGGACCTAATCAGCTACTCTAACGAGCCACAATTTTTTGTTTCCCCTAGTCGGTTTCCGGCTTCCGATTTCCGGTTTTCGAAGATGGAAAAAGGGAGGACCTATAGCTCGCACACCGGGCAACTTTTGGATTTCATCGGCTACAGAGCTACCAGGGAACCAAGGTTCAAGCCTGATCCAAAAGCATTCCGAATAAACAAACAACAAATTGGTAAATAAATGAATAGATAAATGAATAACTAAATACATGAATGAATAAGTTTCTATGAACCGCTCAGATGCCCGTCTAGTCCGCTCTTTGTCCGCTCGTGTTTTTCGCCGTTTCGACTTCCGGTTTCCCACTCTCGAACATGGTCTACGGAAGAGAGGTCAACCTTCATAACTATTACTTTTGGCTCTCATTGACTATCTATAGCCCAGGTCCACGTGAAAAACGTACGTTGACCTCTTTTTCACAACACGTTATAGTGTTCCGGTTTCCGATTTCCGATGATCGCTGGCACCGTCTCTTCCAAGCTCATGCTCAAGCGCTTCAAAATAACGTGGTTGTTCACATAAAAATTCATCCACAACCCCGCCGTAGTTCCTTTTCCGGTAACGCTTCTAGTTCCTTATGTACGGAGACTACTTTCTTTCCTTCCTTCCGGATGATTTTTTTATTGTCGCCTCGCCACTACGTCTGCAATTACGGACTGCATTTTTGAAGCTTTCATTCCTACGAAATCGCTGTGTTTTCTCATGCTAATTGCTACTACGATTTCGCGACGTCTGACTGACTTACTCCGCCCCCTAATTGCAGCTTTCCGCAACGGCAGCACTTGCAGTTGAAGCATCCGCTCACCTAGAGCTGCTTTCATCTCTACTAACACTGTTATTGATCGACAAAATCCAATCAATAATCACGGATGATCAAATCACGTAGTCTCAACTTCCCATGCTCACAGAATCAACGCATCAGCTGTTCGGGCAGTGTTGATGAGATTCGAGCCTTAATGTATGTTTACATGTGTGAATGGGGAGCAGGGGGGGGGTGTGATGGTGAGAAATCATGAATGGGTAAAGGTAACCTTAAACAGTACTGATTGAAAATGGACGAATAGTCCGTATAACTTTTTCTGTTTCTCATTTCTTCCCAATTTTCAGTCACAGTGCACCTCGATCGTCCCCTGGAACTGCCTGGCATCATGGCGATGCGACTATGGTTACCTATGGTTGGGAGCAGGCCAAAAAAAGATGATGCGCCCGCAAGGTCTAATAAACTCGAGTGGAGTTGCGTTATACTGAAGTGACACAGTCGCATATCTATGTCTTTGATGGTACGTGTCTTAGTGTTCCGTTTTGCCGAATCTGAGGTCTTTGTGGAAGTCTGAGCAGAATTAAAAGCACAATTTGCTACTACCTAACCATAAGAGATAGAGTCCATTCACTCATGAGCGCGCAGTCGCGCAGACACACGACTGTATTACATTCGCGGCTCCGAAATGGTGTAAAGCAGCGGCAGGGAACTCCTGGCGGCATGAGGCCCGCCTCAACTGTTTCAGGCTCCACCCAAACTTTTGAGGATGAAATTCCTCCCATGCTTAAGGAGCGCAGGTCTACAGCCACAACGTGTACTTTCACAGCTTCAACTCGCTCGCTTTGTGGCAAGTAAGTCAGGAAGTCAGCAGTAACGTGTATAAGGCCGCCCCCCCTCCGTCTGAGGGTCCGCCCATTCGCTAGACGCCATACTTACGAACGAATCTGTACATTAAATTAATAAGCAAAATACCGCCAAAGAAAGCAGCCGGTATGCAAGGGGGTAGCCTCATCGATTTGTGGAATAAATTCGAACTTTTGAGGAACTCGTCCAAACGCTCGTAATATCGCACAAACTAGGGAATGCCTTACTCAAGGTAGCCTTATTTAGGGCGCCCACAAGGTCATTCTTTGTCTTTTTTTCAATACTGAGTCTCTTAGCACCCACAAATTCACGCTTTGTTCTCATTACCCACGCTTTCCTATCTCTAATTGCGTCTTTAAGTCCGCGCTTTGGCCAGAATAATAGCGTACAGTGCCCAATGATAGGCACCTCCTAGAACTATGGGATACGCGTGGAGTCACCTGCACGAGTTAATTTCCCCAATAGTGCTGGGATGAGCGCGTGAATGTCTCGATCGATATCTATTTTTTGTGCACGCAGACATAATCGCTTGACTTTTCAGTCACATAAATCGTACCACAACCTATACGGATCCGCGAGATTCGATTGCTCCAGAAGGTCGGCGGACTGTGCAAATCCACCGACGGACCAGAAATCGGTTTCGGATTCGTCGCTGCCGGCCAACACCCGACGGTCATTCAGTTCGTGTCTGCTGGTCAGTGAGGCAATTTCGGTTCCAATATTATCGACTCTTATTGATTTTCGGGCTCCATCAACCAAGTCTCATTCAGAGGGCCCATCAGAGGGTTTGCTTTTCGCGAACGATCAGATTCTTGCGGTGAACGGAGTGGACGTCCAACAAGAGTCCAAGGACAATGTGGTGGCGTTGGTTCGATCTGCTGAGGATGTTCTTGAGCTTACCGTTGAGCAACTGCCTGCTCGACCGGTTAGTACTACTTCAGAGGTATACGGTAACTGAGTGCAATAGGCTACAGTAAGAAGCCCAATGTCACTTTTTTGGAACACTGAGAAATCCACTGAATAATTCTCACCTTGTAGAAAATGCATTCCATCCATATTAAAAACGAACTAATGGGTTCAGGCATGCTGGCTTTTCAGTTTCAAATAAGCCGTGCTGTGGCTATCGCCCAGCAACTGACAGGAAATTTGGTGGTTTCATAGTTCAATCTCAGTTGTTCTCAACCATATTGAGACCACTTCCCAACAGGGTACAGCATCGTTCTGTGAAACACATGGGGGGGGGTCGTACTTTTCTCCGGGAAGGGG